GATGTTAAAATATTCATTGATTCCAAACCCCATGCTTCTCCTTTAGTGCTGCTTTTTCAACCTCAACTATATGCTAGCTCATATTTGGGAATTTGAACTGATTTTTTTAAGTAAGGATCTCTGAAATATGCTTTCCTCACTAATGATGTTTGAGCTCTACACAGTACAGTATCAATCCAAAGGGTAAGTGCTGCAATTAAGCTCTTGGCTCCTGCACAGCTCAGATCCCAAGGTCTCAAGCCACACACCAGTGCAGTAAAGTACACTTCATTAAGAACTATTTATGAAAATCTGTACTAACACACCTGCATGGCTTCTCTGGAAAACTTAAGCTCCACCAAGAAAAGTTACATACTACTGAGAAAAGAGTGTTAGGTTGCTAGGTTCAACTATAAATATATCATATATAAAAGTGATAAACTGGGAATTGCACAGACCTGTGATAAAAGATAAAAAGAACTGTAACAGCCATTCTCCCCCCACTCTCCCACACACACTCTACTCTTCTGGCAGAAAGTTCCATTCCCAGATAACAAAAAGCTAACAATTGCTTATGATCCCAAAGTTTCAGCTCATCATTTAGACAAAAGCAAAGTCTTCAAGAACCCTGAAGGTGAAGCATTGGAAGTTAAATAGGTTTTTAGTGGAAGCTGCTCTCTGAGCACAGCAGGCTGGACTTCTTGTCTGTGATGTTTGGAAAATCCATGCAATGCAAAGGGACTTCAGTCCTCTGCACTGTTTGGAGCATCACAAAAACTCAGGGGTCACACCCACGGAGAGCTCGACAGCAAGGCCAAGAAGTCATCGAGGCACGAGTAACCATGGCCTTGTTATCACTTACTGAATGGATGTTCCACAGCCAAAATGGTAAAAACTCTTCCAAATACTGCTCTCAGGAAAAGCAACAGCAATAAACAGCAGCACAAGCAAGCCAAGGGCCCAATAAACCAGACATTTACACCACATTAGAAAGCAACACATGATACTCAGTACCACTAAATATCAGCAGAACACAGACAGAACAGAACTTATTTCCTCCTTCTACCCCAAGACTGCAGGAGACATTCATCAGCACAATAGTTACATCCTATCTTGTCTGGCTCCAGAATAAACCTGATTTGGTTTCATGACAAATTAATGTGACTTTACACACAGGGTTCTTGGACTGGACACAAGTGAGCATTAGTAACACTCAAATTCAGATGTTAAAGACAAAGATTCTCATTTGGCTTTGCATTCACAGTAAGCCAAGAGTGAGCATGGCACCCTTGCCAACTCTTTAAATAAATAAGCTTCTAAGTTATTTTTTAAAATTCAAAAATTATTTACTTAATAAATTACAGACTAAATATAGCATCAGTGCAATCAATATCAGAGAAGAATAAAACTGAAGGAAAGTAACAGTTTTGCAAACATAAACATTGTAGATGACAGCAAATCCAACCACACAAGTGATAAAATGAGCTGAGACTCCTGTGCTGACAGAGGTCAACACACTATTGACTAGCAGTTGCTACTATGAAAAATTGTCTTCTAAATGTATTTTGGATGCAGTTGAAAAGAATGGTTTGGATATAATTTAAGAAATGTGGTTATCATGGAATCTTTATAAACCTCTAAAAATCCCAATTAGCTCCCTGAGAATTACTGCATATCCCTTATGCTTTCCTTGAAATTCAGTAGATTTGTTTTCATCACAGCACAGTTTGCATTCCACAAAGGTCAATATCAGTAGCTTACATAATAGTAAAACCAACCTTGACACAGACAGCACTAATTAACAGACATAAAAACAACCCAGGCAGCCACACAACACCGACTAATCCTTACTGCTACAAATGCCAAAGACATCTCAAGCAGCACTTCATGTGTGTTTGTGCGTAGGTGGAGCAATCAGTCATTCATTCCAGACCTGCACATGTAAACAAGAAAATGCAATACATATAGAACAGAGATTACATCTCACCTCATTTAAATGCACGGGGGGAATAAAAGCTATGGCAAAGCTCTACATACTTAAATCATTTTTCCCACTGAAGCTATGATCTTAAGTTAATAAAATAAACTCTTTCACTGCTCATACACTATCAGCCATACAGATAGTCTGGCAAGCAGGAAAATATGTTGAGCACAATTCATGACACAACCTCAGGCTTACCCCAAACCACAGATGCTGCAGACTGACAGCCCCAATCCATTGTCATCCTGGAGACAACAAATCTGACAGACAGACTACTGACAAGTTCCCCAGCAAGGAGGAAGCCTCCACATAATTCACATTTCTGTCCCACTTTATTCACACCCCTTGCACTGGAGAAAAGAGGGTACAAGCAATCAGGGCACAAGTCAGGGCAGCCCTATGGCTCTTCATGCCTTTGCAGTGCCCCCAAAAAAGGGCAAATCCCAACAAAGGACATGCTTAAGGCCTCACTTTTCTCTACCGTGGATTTTGTGCCAGAAAATTCTTGGGAAAGCCTAAAACTTGGCTTGGGAAATTTAAAGCCAATGGGTAATAACCAAGAAGCACCAAAGGCACCTGTTTTTATTAGCATTCTAAATTATTTAAGTGGAAACATTTTAGCTTGAAAACTTTCCATTTGTTTTAAGGATTGATACTTAAATGTGAATTCCTCACTAAACCTTTCAGTAGTATCTTTTCACTCATCCATAACCACTGCATGCTATCCAGGGTCAAAGTGCAATTCTACCTCAAAATCAACATCTGCTCGTAGCTTCCCAGAGCATTTTTCACTTTAGAGCTGTCTCCCCTCTCTCCCCCTCAAAGTGTGTTTCAAGAAAGAAAGGAAGAGCTGGGAAAAACAGTGTGGTTTTGGAGAGGGATTCACAATCAAAAGCTTTTGACTAAGGATTGTGTAATTAAAAAAAAAAAACATAAATAAATTTTGTGTTTGCCTTCAGTTTACAAAACTTACCATTGCATTTATACTCTAACAAGAGACAGAATCCTCACACAAATACAAGCAGATTTCTCACACCAAGCAGTCTTAAAACAACAAATCAATAAGTTTTGTTTATCAAACAAATGTAGGTGTATTGCTAATTCAGAATGACTGAATACTTCTCCCCCAGAACTGAAGTTAACTTAAAGAGAATGCATTATAGCAATGCACTTTGATACCAGCCAGAACTCTTTATCATAAGAACACATTCACACTCTACAAAAAGGATTAAAAGTGATCTGCCATCAAATGGATTTCAAACGCCCAAGCCCGTGCAAAATAAACTGATTTCAACAAGATTCTGACCTCACAGCCCCAAGAATAAACAACTAATGATGATTCCAAAATGTAAATCAGAAGCAATCATGTTTTAAAAAGCTTCAGACACTATACTTGTATTACATTAAAGTAAAAGCAAGTGCTACATAAAGCCAGAGAGGCAGGTGTGAACTCGGGACACCAAGTACACACAGAAGTGAATCACAGTGGATGCAGTACATGCACTACCCCACACAAATTAAGGCTGCCTAATTGTTTTGAGACATCCCCTTCCCACCCACCAGCTCACTCCGAAATAGCTAATTCAATTTTCATTTGCTGGGTAAAGTTGTCACCACATTGTCCACACCCACATCCGACTCATATAAACTGTCCTGTAATAAGCAGAATCCAGCAGAGGTCAGAAATGGCCCTGCACAGGAAATGCCTGGGTGTTTTCCATTCAGGCTCTGCAGATTACTCTTCTACGTGAAGACAGCCCAGGTCTAGGGTCATGCTCTTGTACAAACTTTATTTTAAATCATTTTCTGCTTAACCTGCAGAATTAGTCATTGAAGAGTCCTTTGAAAAGGAACTTAGAAGCTTAGTAATTCAGTCACCCTATAGCACTTGTATTTCATAATATTTCTGTTAAATCTTACAAACTTTATACTTATTCTGATTTTGGCATTTTCATGAGACAAAAACAAATCACTAATGCACATTAAAAAGGCATTGTTCAACCCCATAGCCTTCACACCTTCCCTTTTATTCCATCAGTACAAAACAGCAGCTCACAATACTCAAGAACTGTCTCAGCAACACTACAGCAGATATTTTGCACAGCACACCTAGAACACAATGCACCTGACTACTACCTTACAGTACAAATTGATCACACAAGCGTTTTAAAAACGTTTCCTGAATGCCTCCTACTGAGAAGTGAAGTGCATCAACAGGATGTTACTTAAAAATGAGAAATAATTGCCACGGCATTAATAACTTAGACTTATGCAATACTTCTGCAGCCAGCTGGAAACACTAAACCATAAAGTAATTTGCACCCCCATCTCTCAGCAGGGCACAGATGGAGACTTGCAAAAAGCCAATCCGCAGGTCAGCACATTCAGAAGGTGACAACAGTTGCAGAAAGCTTTAAGGCATCACAACACTTCTTTGTGAGCGCTTTCTCTTTCGTTTTTTTTTTTTTTTAACTCTCTCGTCTTACAACTATCGATTGCAGCCTTGCCAGCAGCGATACTCCATGACCCCGCTGTTTTTACCGGCACGCCAGCGAGAACCCGATTTTCATCCCGGCTGCCATAAACACGAGACAGCCTTGCAAGAGGGCAGCGCTTTTATGGCTGCAGTTCACAAGTCAAGGAGCGCGGGTCACGCTCGGTCAGCGCCCCGCGGGCTCCAGCTGCCGCTCCCCCGCCGCTCCGCAGCCTCCGGCCCGACCCCGGCACCGGGCGGCAGTGCCCCGGCACAGCCGCCTGCACTGCTGCGAGGCTGGGGGCGAAGGAAACGATTTGCTTTTAAATGCAAAGCGCCCACAAAACACTGCCTTACCCACCGCAGCCACTAGAGATTTCTTATCGAGCACCGTCTCGCTCCGTGGGCGCTCTGCAGAAGCGCTGAAGCAGCAGCAGCTGCAGCCGCAGGTTCTGCAGCGCGGAGGGGCCGCAGGCAGAGCGTGCACCCCTGGCCCGGCGCTCGCAGCCCCCGCCCGCACCGCTCCCTTCACGGAGCTCGCCCCGTGAGCCAGCGCTGCCTACTGACCTCCCCGGCGGCGACGACGGCGGCTCCTCCATGGCGGCGGCGGCACAAACCAGCGCGGCGGCGTCTCTCATGCATGCACCGGCATGGCGGCGGCCCCCGGTGCGCGGCGTGGGGGCGCAGCGAGGAGCGGGAGCAGCGGGAGGAGGGGAGCGGGTCCCTACCCGGCTGCAGGAGCGCGGAGAGCCGCCCGCGCGGCCGCCATCTTGGGAACAGCCTCCGAGGGCAGCGGCGCCGGCAGCATCGCTACGGCGCGCCAGGAGGGACCGGCCGCGCCAGAGGCGCCCGCTCCGCCGCGGACGGGCTGGGGGCGGCTCCCGGTGCGGGTTTCCCCCTCTCGGCAGCGGGGTCGGGACTGGCTGTGGGACAGCGGCACTTCCCTCCGGCACCGTGGAAATTACATCCCCGCACTTCCCCGCGAGGGGCCGCGGTTATCCCGAGGCGGGGCGGTGACGGGGGCGCGGCGGGAGCTGCCGCCCCCTCCGTGCCCCGGCGGCGGAGCCGTCAGGCGCTGCCTGCGGGCGCCGCGGTCTCTGCCGCTGCTCGCTCCCACACCGCCGGCACACAGAGAGAAAAGAACAATATTAGTGCTGAGGGGAAGATGGTTTCCCTCAGCAGGTGCCCGCTGCCTGCAGCCGTGCTCGCCCCGAGTGCGGTGCCTGCGGAGCCTGGAGTGACCGCGGCCGGACCCAAGGGGCTGGAGGGCTGAGAGACCCCTGAGGTCCCCCTCGGGGGCGTGCGTGGAAGAATAACCTTCTGTCTTTTATGCTCTGCTGCTGACAGAGTAACTTGTTTGAATTTATGAACCTGGACTTTTTAAACCCTCCAGCAGCGCTGGTTATCAGCCTCGGACAGAGAACTGGAGCCACGTTATCCAGCTGGAAATACAGGGAGGAAAATGTGATTTCCTAATCTGTAGGTTGGCTGGAATACCAATATCGATATTAACTCCCGCCAAAGGCAGTAAAGTGCCACGGGTCGTTTAATTGCTGTAATCGACTCTCAAGGGAGCCTCACCTTCTGTGTTACGGGACTGGAAGCGCAGCAACAAACCCTGGCATCAGTAATGTGTACACAAACCACATGCATTATTTCTGATGGGTGAAATTTGAGCTTGGACTAGAATCAATTCTACATTCTGCATTTTTGCACCAGTTCTTTCATTAGCTGTACAAGAAATGTGCACCTTTCTAGTCTGGTACCAAAATTCGGTTGTAAAGTCATTATTCATGAAATAAAGTCATCCACCTCTCTGTCGAAGTTTAGGAAGCAAATTCAACAGTCCCTTTAAAATAAAAGAATTTTTTTTAAGCTGAAATGCAGGATATACTTCTACTGTATCATCTTAATATCATCTTAATATCAACTTAATACTATCTACTATTTATCATCTTAATGAATGCATGCTTAAAATGCAGGACCAGATAAATATCGTTTTGCAGGAAGCCACTTAGGTCAAGAAAGATACTCAAATCACCATGACCCTGATGATCATGACATTGAAATATCAAGACATTCAGCACTTACATTAAGAATTATTAGTTAAGATACCTCGTGTAATGGAAAAAGGCAGTATTTAGCATGTTAAAGACTTTTGCTGGAGTACCTGAGTGTAAAACCATAAAGCAGTTCCAATGGCAGATACACAAAATACATTCCCACTAATCTGTCATGGTGAACAAAACTTAGAAACCATAGCTGAAGGTCAAAAATTCTGAGGTGCTAACCTAAAAAATTAGTTGTCATCTCCATAAAAAGCATGCATTATCTAAGGTAAAGCTGCTTACTTCACAGTATGTGTGTGTTTTTTGTATAATCACAAATAACAAAGAGTCAATGTTACAGATTAAATTTGAACATTCTTTTCAGTAAGGGATCATTGTCTCACACCGTCTCTGCAGCTGTTTGCAGGGCAGAGATGTATTTAGCAATCCTGGCAAAATGTTTCAGCTTCTTTGCTTCTTCTATCAAAACCATGAATGCAGTGGTCTGTTAGAAGCACAGAGTTTTCATTAAATCTGATTTTGCCATAGATGGGATGGTGTGGAAGTGGAGATGTCCCAAGGGCCCTTGACAAAGGGAGAAATGGGGACTGACCACTGCCACTACTTTCTGTAAATATTAAGATAGTTTACTGGAGTAAATGGGGGTTCACTGCAATCTCTCAAACAAAATGGTCCAGAAAACTCTTCCCTGTTCCAATTTCCCCTTTCCCTTTAGGGCAACCAAGCATATTGCATTGCATCCCATTCTTGTGGTACATCCCAGAAAATATCCTAGAACTACAGATACTGGCCAGGCAAAGCAAGGCTGCAAATTTGATACAGACATGCTTCTTTATCTGCAGTTGACCATAGTGAGCAACATAGCTCCTGGCATCAAGGAGAAGATTGTAAGAGAAGAAGTTTATGAATGGCCATACCCAGAACTTAGGAAGAAATTAAGAGATGCAGGAATATTTGGAAGTGATAGTACAGGAAACAACAGATGACATAAGAACCTCAGAGCCTATATACAGATAGTATTTGGCAAAGAAAAAATTTCAAGGCAATACAGAGGTCTTTAAAAATTGATGTGCAAAAATAAAATTAATTATTTTTGCTTCTTTTAAGGAATGTCATATTTCAAAGACTTCCTGACTGCCATTTTCTGAGTCTAAACATGTCAATATTTCATAGGTGCATGGAAACTGATAAATTTCACTTTCACTCTGGTTCTACTACTGAAACAGAAGAAGGCACAAAGTTAAAATATACATCACAATAAGTAGCATCTGTCTGTAAGAAAATAGAGTTAAAATAATAGGAATGGATTTTATTGTCTGATGTGGCAAATCATGACTCCAAAATTCCAGGTTAAAAAAACAAACCAGGAAACAAGTAACTGTCAAAATAGACAAACTTATTTCAGTTTAACTTCTGTTTTCAGAAGTTTTAGAATCATTTTCTTCTTTTTTTCAGGAAACAACTAGCTTTATAATTTAGCAGATGCTGCAATTGCTTAGGAATTGCTTTTTATTCTAGCAACATGCCTTTTATTACAGTGGCAATCCTACAACTTGCAATAGAAGTTTTAAATGGCAATAGCATCCTAATAACAAAAATAGGTCTTTGAAATAGCATTTTCAAATTTCTACTGCAACTACCCTCAAAATTTCTATCGATTTCTGGGGCATATATTCTGTTGTTCCTTCCTCCTCAAGTCATCACAGGTATCAGGCACAATTGTACATGCAGCTGTGCCTTTGCCATCTGCCATTTCTCCAGGTGTTTTCTATATACAAAAAGTCCTAATGAAGACAAACAAGTATTTGGTCCATGTAGGTAAATAAATATGTTTTTAAAATATATTTGAAATTTTTTTCTCCTGGTACCTGTCACAATGCAAAACTTCCAAACTTTTTTTTTTTCACTTTATGAATGTTGCACAGAATAAGGCACAACTTGATTTTGGGTTTTCTTAAGTCAGTAATGAAATCTAGTATCAGATTTTTCTTCACTGTGTGAACTGCATGCAAAAAAAAATCAAATTATTGACAAAACTAGCTTTGTACAATTTGCTTTTCCTTCAAATAAGTTGTTTAATTCTAATAAAAGCTATTTAAAAGTAAAAGCCAATTTAATCAGACATTAGAAAACAGCCTGATAGGTATAGTTAGTCTAATTTTAGTAAAATGTCCTGAAGACAGAATATTCATTTTTTCTTGGTCATAGATTAGAAATGCTCTTCTGCAGTGCAATGAAGAGTAACACATGAACAATACCTGCATTTAATATCTAGAACACGACCTGACACCATTTCCTATGTAGATATTGCAACTAGCATCTCCAGAGTCCAAATAAAACACCAAGATGTGTTTCTACCTGGGCATATGCAGACTCCTCCATCTTGTCTCGTTGTTCTCACAGAAGATCAGGTTGGGGCTGGCATTGAAAGAAACAGAACTCACTTTTCAGTGTTATCTAACCTGAGCTTTGCTGCAATTGATTGGAAGTGTGAAGCTGACAGAAATGAAGGAGTCCCACTGTATATAGCCCTGTTCAATCACCCGTTACTGCTGTGATTCATTCACTTGGGAAGCTGGCATGGGAGCTGCCAAAGCTTGTTCAGCAGCGTGGTTTAACACCGGGCTGTAACAGGAGCCAGCTAACTTGACGGAGGTGGAATATTTCTGTCTGAGCTCTGTCATCTCACAGGCTGCATGTCAGATTGCACAGGGCTCAGTACCATTAATTCACCACTATTAAAGGAGAATTTGTTGGTAAGACTACCATGAGGTCAGAGACATTCCTGTGATTATTGTTTTATCACTTCAACTGGGCATTATTTTTATGAACTTCCTGTCCTAAAAAGCAACTCTATATAGCACTGCCTCTGCCTTATTAAAATGGCACGACCCATATGAGAGAAGTATAAAATCCAGTTGTGCTTAAAGCTGTATGCTTTTACTGTGCAAAGCTGGTCTCTGGGCTCAGTGTCTGTAAAGCTGGGCATAGCTAAATCCACTGGCTGCTCTTCAAAAGCACTGGACTTAGAAATTATCTGAAACTGAAAATGTTGACACATGTATAGCAGTCTGGCCACAGCAGTTTATATCTTCACAATAACTGATTTTGGACCTGTGAAAATGAGCTGCACTGAATTCAGTGCTACTTGAACTTGACTATCAACAACAGAGTAAGCTTGCTTAAAGCTAGCTTGGCTCCTGCTAAATCATATTTTAATTCTTTCCCCAGCTGTATAATAGACACACTTAGTGAGCAGCCATGGGGCATTTATAAACAAGACCAAATGCTTGTCTGCGTTTGTGTTCACTGCATTAATTTTGTGTTCAAAGAAGCTCCAGTGAAGAGCTGGGGCCAATTCTTTGAAATCCTATTTGTAGGCCCAGAGCATATCCATCTGTCTTCTGTGTGTGCCTGACAGTGCAATTCAATGCATTGTTGCATGCAACTCTTGCAACTTTTCAAGCATCTTGCAAGTTTGACTAGTTGCTTATACCAGATTTTATAAAGGTGACTCTTCTCATTTTCATCAGCCCAGAAAGCACCAAAAAAGTTCCAGACTATATCTTTTTAAAATATCTGGTTGTGCAGCTGAGATTCTATGTCTGCCTTACAGCAGCTGCATTATCCCAGCAGAAAACAGCTGTGAGATTTGTATCAAACTTCCCTCTCTGGAAAGACAGGAGCTGCCCATGTCTCCTCCTCCCCATAACTCTTTTTATAAA